GGATTAGTCGTATTTTTCCCACCATTTTCATTCTAAACCATATTATCATTATATATTTTGACAGCTAGCATTTTAAGGCTTATTTGTAAAAAATTTTGTTTGATTTTGTGCAATTGTTTATTTTTTGCATCCCATCAAATATGGAAGATCGAAAGCATCATTTTCGGCATATATTGCTTTTTTATTACCAAAAAATCAAAATGCTGTTCAAGCAAGAAAAAAACTGTGGTACATGTATGGAGATAATGTGTTAAGAGAAAGACAGTGCCAAAACTGGTTTACAAAATTTTGTTCTGGCAATTTCAATATTGAAGATGCACCACGTTCTGGATGGCCAATTGAAGCCAATGAAAACAAAATAAAGGTATTGATTGAAGCAAACTGCTGAATAACAACACGTGAAATCACTAAGAGATTAAATCTGGCAAATTGAACTGTTTATGATTACTTGAAACAAATTGGTTTTGTTTCAAAACTCAATATATGGGTTCCACATGTTCTTAGAGAAATGCTCTCTTTGGTGGGATTTTAAGGAAATTTTGTTTTTGGAGCTTTTACCAGACAATTTAACAATTGATTCGAAAGTGTACTGCCATCGAGTAAACAAATTGAGTAATATCATCAAACAGAAAAGGTGGCCAGAATTGAACAACAAAACAGGTGTAGTGTTTTGCCACGATAATGTCAAATTTTACACAAGTTTGGTAACTCGTCAGAAACTGTTCTAACTTAGATGGGACGTACTATCACACCAACCATATTCACCATATGGAGCACACTCAGATTATTACTTGTTCTGGTCTATACAATTGTTTTTTAACTGTAAGACATTTACTTGAAATGACAATGTCAAAAATCACTTGAATCAGTTTTTTGTAAGCAACAATAAAAACTTTTATGAATGTGAAATCATGCTACTACCAGAAACGATGACAACAGGTATTTGACCAAAATGGTCGATATATAATTCAATAAAATATTTATTTATTATAAAAATATTGTGGTTTTTTTCACGGAAAAAAAACAAACTTACTTTCTGAACAACCCAATATTTTGAAGATATTTTTCTTTCTTTTTGTCATCACCTACATGTTTCATTTATTTAACTGTTATCTAAATTACAGTCGACAATGTATACGAGATAGGTAACCATGCGACTGCGCTGCATGGTTACCTATCTCTATACATACGTGTCTTACCCCTCACCTGCTGACACCAAAAATATAACGCTTACCTAGATGATATCTTTTATTTATATGAATGTTTAATGGTATAATATACAGCCTATATTATTCCATTAGATCCCTGAAGGTCCATTCTAAATATTGGTGAAAGAATTTTTGAAATCGGATGAGTAATTTCGGAGATTACCTCCTACATCCAAACTTACAAACTTTACCTCTTTATAATATTAGTATAGAAGTACAGATAGTCAAGTTTAAACAGTCCAACTCCATAGAATAACATGCAAAACTGATTGACAGGCAAGACTCAACCATAGATTTGAAATTGTTAACAATGATATCAATTTAAAAAGTTCCCTTGCTAGAAATTAGGATATTTTTCTTTAAAGAATGGAATTGAAATCACATCCTAATTATGAAAAAGTATCATGCAAAAGAAAAGTCTTCTAGAATTCATAAAAACCATTTCATTTATAAAAATAAATACTTTAAATTGAATCCAATTATTAATAAACTTATTAAAATTCAATAAATTTGAAATAATATCAGGAAATGTTTTTATTTACTAAATTTAAATTTTAAGTAATAAAAATATTTGTATCATTAATGTACCTGAATTAGGTATGATATTATCTTCTAATAATCCATAACAAGGTAATCTTTTTGAGTTGGAAGTTGATGGCTGAAATGGTGATATTACATCTACTATTTGAGAAAATTCACAATCATCATCGTCGTCATCTTCATCAGAATTAATCATATTTCTCACTTGGTGACATTGATTAGATTTATTTCTGTTACTGTTTATCCAATCCCCCTTGGGGTCATTAGATATATCCATATAACCAGCTTTATTTGTTGTAGAAGAAACACATCCTTGCATTGTTTCTTGAGTATTATCAACTTGTGAAGACCCAGCTTTATTTGGAGAATTGTTAAATACTTCTGGTAGTTTAGCCATTTTTGGAGAATTTGATTCACAGAGTTTTGCTCTTGGATGTGATACAAAAAGTTGTAGAGCCATTGCTGCTGCTTGATCCGGAGAAAGTTTTTGAATCTTTCCACTTGAAGCACAATGTATGTTTGAACATTCTGGTTTTCCACAGCCATCTGTTAACTGGTAATAATAACGTTCAATTAACTTCCTGGCAGCAGTTCGTTTTCTGTAAAAAGTTTAATATAATTAATATAACAATAAGAAAAATAGCACATATAATAAATTGTAAAGCTATGCATTAAGAAATAGCATCATAATGTAAAATTATAAACTGTTTAGAAAACAAATACAATGGAAATGTAGTGCTGTGGCACTGCAACCTTTGGCTATGTCTTGGGCTACTCCAATATTTTTTTTTGTTGGTGTGTTTTAGCTGGCAGCACTGACACTTTTGTGTGATGTTTTTCTGAGGACTGTGTGTCTGAATGTGTGTCGTGTTGAATCGAACGTTTTTGATACTAGATTAACTTCTAAAGTATAATTTTTATTTGTTTTTATATTTTTCAAAATATTTATTTTGTTTATACAAAATAAAGAAATAATTTTTAACGATACAATAGCCACAATTATTATTATAAAAATCTACATTAGGCTTAACAGTGACGAAAATTCAACACAAAGCGACACGCAATGGAGAAAAATTTCAACATGGGATAGGTTAATATATTTTTTCGTACATAATCGGTTATCCGAACAACCTCAGTCCCCAATTGATTCGGACAAACGACGCTCTACTGTATTGCAATGACCTGTAAGGAAGGAGTTAAAAATGATTTGTAAACAGTTACTGCACAAGATACATTAGTCAATTTAGCAATAATCTGAATTGAGAGAAATTTATCCAGTCAACTGAATTTTCAAGATGGCATGAACACTTCTGCAAAATTAAAAGCCTACAGAACTTTTTATACAACAAGCTGTACATTAACATGTAAAAATTGTTTTATAAATTAAAAACAAAGTGTAAATAAAGTTTCTACTAAGTTAGTAACTGTTTTTTTTATTCTCATTCTCATTACATGTATTCCTACATGTACATGTAAGAAATGTTATAGCACTTCTCAGCACTATATTTTGTAGCACCCCAAGTTGAAAACCACTGTATTAGGTAAGGATAGACTGTGTGCTAAAATATTTTATCTAATATCCTAACATAAGAGATATAATGCCTGAAAATTTATTTTCTCTAGATAAATGTAGCTGGTTAATTCTTCCCAAGAAATTGATCCCAGGACAATTCTTCTCAGACAACTCTTCCCCAAACAGTTCTTCTCTGAACCATTTTTCTCCAAGCGGTTCTACCTCAGATAATTTACTGAACATTTTTTTACATAATTCTTTGCTTCAAAAGTTTTTCTCCAGACAATTTTCTATCATACTTTTTTCTCCAAACATTTTTTCTTCAGAATATTATTTTTCTACATACTTTTTTGCAACATTATTTTTTTAATTATTCTTATTTCTAAATAGTCACAAAATGCCAAATGGCTTAGAAGTGACATCACTGTGTCAAATAGAGCATAAAATTACATACTTGGTCATATCTGCCATATATGATACAACATTTTCATCACATATACTGTACATTTTTAACATGTTATAAAAATTAATTATAATATTACTAATAGTAAATTAGTTCAGTGAAATGCATTAAAAAACTGATATATAAGGTTTATTTTGGCAAACTCTTGCCATGGTTTTTGCATACTATTACTAAAATGAATTTATACTTATAAAACTAATGAAATAACTCATTCTAATATGAATGATTTTTAAAACTCATGCCCTGTTGACACTAAGAGAGCCTTTTTTAGCAAGCCCATTATGGGTTTAGCCAGGTGATGAGAGATGGATATCTGGACAGACCACTCCTCAAAAAAAATTCCTGGATGTTTCTTGACTCTGTTGGATTCAATCCTGGGTCCTCCAGAGCAGTAGGCTGTCACCTTAACTGCTTGGTCATCTGGCTATGTAAGTTATAAATGATATCATAAATGTATTTTTTGAAGATAAATTTTATAAAGATGAAGTATGTACACAACTTATCTGTTTTAATCTATACTAATATTATAAAGTGGTAATGTTTGTATGTAAGTTTGTTTGCAGCAGGTAATCTCTGAAAATACTCATCTGATTTCAAAAATTCTTTCACCAATATTTAGAATGGAACTTCAGGGTGGACATAGGCTGTATATTATTCCATTAAACATTCATATAAATTAAATTATATCATCTAGGGTTAAGGCTTTTATGTCCAACAGATGGCACTATGAGTACGACGCCCTAAGTTTGCTTTTCTGTGAAAATGAACTAAAGCAGATCATCTTCTATCTATTTATATAAAAAAAAATGTGATGTTCATTTGTTCCTACCGATTCCTTTGAAATTTTGACACAACGCTGCATTCAAATACGCACGTGTTTTTATATAATATACATGTTGAAATCCCCCCAGGAGATGGACGTGATTAAGGCTTACCATAAAGAACTCTGCTTCCATTTATACTATTTTAGATGCGCATTTTTGCGTTTTACTAAGGTACGTCAAGAGAATGTACACTAAGAAGAAATTTTTCGAAAAATTCCCCTCCCACGGTGGAAGTGTTATAAATTTATAATAGATGCATTTTGAGCCACAACAACGCGTGGCAGGGTCTGCTAGTCTATACTATTATTATAAAGAGGTAAGTTTGGATGTAGGGGTAATCTCCGAAACTACTCATCCGATTTCAAAAAATCTTTCACCAATATTTAGAATGGAACCTGAGTGTGGACATAGGCTGTATATTATTCCGTTAAACATTCATATAAATTAAAATATATAATCTAGGTTAAGGTTTTTATGTCCAACAGATGGTGCTATGAGTACGACACCCCAAGTTTGCTTTTCTGTGAAAATGAACTAAAGCAGATCATCTTCTATCTATCTATATAAATAAAAATGTGATGTTCATTTGTTCCTACCAATTCCTTTGAAATTTTGACACAACGCTGCATTCGAATACGCATGTGTTTTTATATAATTTACATGTCAAAATTCCCCCCAGTGGGGGAGATGGACAGGATTAAAGCTTACCGTAAAGAACTCTGCTTTTATTTATACTATTTTAGATGCAGTTTTTTGCATTTTTGATTATGTTTTAATAAAGTACGTCAACAGAATATACACTAAAAAGGGATTTTTCGATATTCCACCCACGGGGGTAGTGTTATACATTTATAATAGATACACTTTGAGCCACAACAATGCATGGTGGAATCTGCTAGTCTGTCATAAAGATGTCTGCAGGAAGAATAATGAGGACATAACTCTCTGGTATAATAATGGAAACAAATGATCAAAGCAACATTGCAGAAATTACATTTTAAAAATGTAGGGAAAAAATTGTCCAGGGCAGAACTGTCTGGAGATGATTAACCTGGGAGAGATTACTGGGGAAGAACTGTCTGAGAAACAATTGTCAAGGATGAATTGTCTGGGAAAAAATTGACATTAGGTTCGACAATTAAATGGTACCAATTAAACAGCACTAAATTGCATTTTGGAAAAATAATTATGTCAAAATCATCCAACCATCAGCCAAATTAATTGGGCAATATTATGCTACAATTAATAATTAGAAATTATGTGATTAAAAATTAGAGGTAAATGTTAGGCACCATCTCTTATTGAAAGTAGGAACTATAATTTTAATATAATTTAGAATAGTCTGGAAGAAAAGAAGCATAATATTGCCTGATTAATTTGACTGATGGTTAGATGATTAATAATACATTGGATTATTGAGATGTTTATATATGATTAGAGTGAAGATCTTATGGAAAAATGTTCCTTCCCAACTCCGCCTCGTTGAGTTGGTTTCTTGTATATCACGACTCGATGTAGTGAATCAGGTTCGTCGGAAAGTACACCTCCACACTCAAATTGAATATATATATAGTTTATTTACAGTTGTACAAGTTATAAACGTAGCATATGTACAGGAAGATCATGCGTGGTGAATTCACGTGCCAGATTGGCGTCTGGAAACTAATA